CCGGGGCCGCCCGCCCCCGCCGCACAGCTTGGCTCGGGAACGGCTTCCTTTAACTTCAAAGGCGAAGCTTGCGCAAACCTGCTGGGCTGGGATTCAAGAGCACCCCCGAACCACGTTAGGCCTTTCTTTAACAGGTGATACGTAACCTCGGCACAGATCGCTCTCCAGATGGGTCGGAGTGCAACCCCCATGGTCCCCTGCCAGCGCGTGCAGAAATCTTACACTAGCTTAGAGGCTTTGAATGCAGAACGTGGTGGATTCCTGACTTGGCATTTCCAATTACTCTTAAACGTTGCAGAGCTCCTTCGGGGCAGGCATCTCACTAAGCTATGATTTGTTGAATAATCATGAATGGCTGGGTTCACACAACACGCTGCTAAGCCAAAGCCAGCCAAAGCACGGGGAGTCGATCTTGCTTCAGTGTTGACAATGAAAGGTCTCAGCAGATCAGAGTTCCTTGGGTCCGTGGGCGGCTATATACATTTGTTAAATAAATAATATAGCGATGGCTTCGTTTCTGAGTCTAGTGGAAATGTGCATGAAAGCAGTTGTTTTATTCATGCCTGGCATAGACTGCTTCTGAACAAGATTTTCCCACAAGGCCATTTTGCACTCTTGCAGCTAAATAGGTTACCTTAATTCTTTTTAAAAGTCAGCGGCCCTAAATTCCTGCGTCTGTGTTTTGGGAAGCACATTCCCCATGTTTCAAATCTTCTGCCCGTCAGTTAGAGCTACCGAGACGGCAGCAAAGAGGTATACATTTTGCCTCTCCTTGCTGCCTTCTAGTGAGCAACCAGAGTTTTGCAGCTGAGCATAGCAATGACTGTGGGTTGTTCTCGTGCTCTAATATTATGAGAGGGGGATTTTCCACCTCCATATCCACCTCCACATTTAATGAAGTCGTGAAGCGATTCCCAGACTGCTGCTACAGGACTTGGAAGCATATTGGGAGAACATAGTTCCCTGAAAAGCAGGATAAAAATACAGTTAAATAAATAAACAGCTGATTAAATGTGCTGTGAGCACTGTGAGTGATTAGCTGTGTGCTCTAAGGATAAACCCCATATTTAGCGCACCGTAGGGTGGGACTATCTCAAACTTTGGACCTGACTTGTGGCACACTGACGAAAAAGGATGGCCGTAATTCCAAATAACCTTTCCCCTCCAGATAGGATCAAATAATCATTTTCATTTGCATCTCATGTTAAGCCTTGTTGAATTTCTGCATTACCTCCACAGCCTCTCCCTTAACTTTTCTCTTCTGGAAACAACCTGAAGAAAGATGTGTGCTCATTTCCTCAAAGACGGGGCCCTTGGATCACGCTGGCCTTTTTCTCCCTTGACTGCCTGTGTGGGGTTTGATAATTACCTGACCTACTTTAGATGGTTATTGTAAGGTTTTCTGAAATAATGCCCTGGAAGGGCTTTGTTGTAGTTGTCACCAAGCTGCCACTTTAAGCATCTCTCATTTAACAGCTTTTCCCATCCCTGTCATTTTTGGGAATACCCCTTTTCTCCAAAGGCTTGCTATGTTTCCCCTTTGGCTGCACTTCACATGCTGTGCGTGTCATAATGGGTGGTAAAATTGTTTTCTCCTCAATTCTTTGGCTTCTTTGCTGCACTGTGGATGAAGTTTTGAGCAGAGTAGGAAGGGGAGGGGAGGTTTGACAGGGAAGGCAAGGGGGGAGGAAGAACAGGGTTGAATCATTCTCATTTATGAGGAAGGCATTGTGAAGGCAACCAACTGAATTTACAACACCATTGAGTTGGAGAGTCCATCTCACCCCCTGTCAATGAGAAGGGGGCTACTTGGGGGTTGATGGGAGGGAAGGAGGAAGAAGAAGGACCCAGGCTTCTCAATAGACCCTCAGCCTTGCAAAAGAGCCCGCTGCATATTCAATGAGACCTTTTATATCTTTTAATTACCCTTCCCCACAAAAGAGGCCAAGAAACTCTTCTTCAGCTACCCATCCCATAAGGTGGGAGAGTGACTTTTCCTGTTTCCC